TTATTAGGAAGTTAGAGGTCTAACTACAGCAAAATGTGTGCAAACTTGTAAAACTGGAAGGAGGTTTGAGGTGCTTCTAAAATTGATCAGTCAGTCAACAGCTGGACTGCTTTCCAAAACTTTATGGGAACAGAATGTCTTTCTTTGTTTTTTGCATGAGGTCAGCATTGCTCCAAGAAAGAGTCCTGGAATAGCCCATGAGATCAGGGGCTTTTAGAACTTTCTGGGCTAATACGAAAGAAGCAGTCTACTCCTGCTGGGGTGTCATATCTCTTATCAGGAATGCACGAAGCGGGCTGGCCTGTAGGCACACCGTTTGCTGTCACTGCCTTATTCAGGCATTACAACTACTTCAGTGTCTCAGTTTAAGAAGGAGACAAACTGTTCAGTTTGTCAGCTGTCTGGGACTGCTGTGTTTTGGCTGCCTGCCTTGTCATGATACCCCCCTTCTGCCAGCTGCCTGTATAGGTGCCCGCCTTAGGCGGCTCCTTAGTAATAAGGACTCAGTCAGGTACCTAGAATATGAGGTCTGAAAGTGAAAAAAAAAAGATGCCACTTTTGAATTATTTGAAGCCCTGTTCCCAGTGCTGCAAAAGCAGCATCCAGCGTAGGTTACCAAAGCCAACATTTCTCTTCCTCCCTGTTCTTCACTGTTGCTGCCCAGGGCAGTACCAGGCCATCTCTGCTCTGAAGAAAGCATTCTTTGACGAAGAGGCATGAACCACTGTCTCATCTTTGCCAGAGTAGGGACCATTATGAAAAACAAAAGATTTGGTTTTGGTGAGGGTGTGTGGGGTGAGTTTTAGAAATGTTGTGCAGCTTTTACAGAATATTTGGGGGATGTCCCAAAATGAGGAAGAATGGGACATGACTCAGTATGTGTGACACCCAGCAGCACAAGATCCTTTTTATTACTCATGCAGGATGGAGCGGAAAAGATCTGTCAGTAATATTCAGATTACACATGGTTTTCACTTAAGTACTTGACAGAAGAAAGTTTCATTGCTTTATTTAGTGTATTTTAGATCCAGGAAAGGTTACTTGCTATATATCTGAAAAACTATTCATCTCCGTGTCTGGCTTATTAATGTACCAGAAATTGGCCCTTAGGACATAGCAGACTGACTTGCATGTAAAGGGTCATCAGCGTTAGCACAAACACAACAGACTCTCATTTTAAAGCCCTTTTATATTGCCAGTGTGATGCAAAGTGATTGTGAAAATAAGAATGAGCCCATTTAAAATGTCTGTAACATGATAAAAATTGCTGACCTGACTGTTACTGTGTCATAGTCTCCCTCAAACTAAACTTTACATTCAAGGATAAATGTATTCACAAATCTTAGCTACTGTTCACACACACACACAAAAGTGCAAATGTCACTTGAAGTTGTTCACTCAGCTGGGAGGCTTCACCCACCCCCACCTTGTCTCCTGCAATTACCCTTTGTCCCTTTCCTCTAGCAGATACTTCTTCCTAGCTGTTATGTTTTACCATCTTTGAAAAGACAGTGGCCCTGCTCCTGCTGCCCGTCAGATGTGGTGAGCTAGACCTGACAGAAAGCCATCACCCCGGGAGGACTGAGTCTCGGCATGGGGGTTTGCAAAGGGTCTTCCTTCAGTGCTCAGCCTGTGCAGTGCTAAGGGTTACTGTTTCTCAGCTGAGCAGAAGCAGAAGAGATCCAAAACGCTCTTCTTCCTCTCCATTCCTGCAGAAGCATGCCCTTTCCAAGTAGCCAGCCAGCCTTCAAAGGCAGGCTGAAGCTTCAGTGCATGGCTAAGAGCAGTCTAAAATGTAGAGCGAGTCTGCCATTTTGCAGCCTTACAGCAGGAAGGAGACAGGCGCTCGGGAGGACAGGAGTGGAGGAGCAGCAGCCAGTGAGACAGCAGGAGAAGTAGCCTGGGGCTTGCAAAGTGGAGGCCACTGCTGGGTCATTCACCACTTACAAAGACAGAAAGATCATATGAAGAGTCCACAGGGGTTTGGTTGGCTCTCTGCATCACTGGGAGTTGCCTGATGTGCAGGCAAGCAGACTGCTTCTACAGCTTGTTCCTGGCAGCCTTTGAAGTAGAGAAAATGGCCAGAGAAGGCTTAGCAAACTATCAAATGGGTTTTCCACTTTAGCTCAGGAGAGAGGAAATGAGACAGCAGAGGGGGATTGATTTTCCTGGTGAGTTTGGCTCATCAGCTGAATGAGCAGTTCACTTGTCTTCCTCTCAAAGTCAACAGAGTGGCATTGTGTCTCACTGTGCCCTTCCGGACCTTTTCTGTTCCAGGATTTGCTCAGTTTTCAGTCAAGCCTCATGGAGTTACTGGTTTGTCGCAGTAATGCTGGTGCCTGGCCTGCCATGTCACTCAAGAAGAGATAGCTTGACTGAGAGTTAAAAGCCCACATTGTGGAAGCACAGTCTGTTTCGTAGCCCCTGTCTTGGGGACCATATGTGACAGCGGTGGAGCCTTTGGAACATGTGTCACGTGTAACATGAACTGACAGCCTAAACTGAAGTCACTCCAGTTGGGTACAAAGGTTACTTTAGGAAGAGCTTGCCTGATTATATAGGTTTCAGATGACTTCATTTTTTAAAAGTGCATGGAGTGCATCCAAAGCAAATTATTTTTCTGTGGTGAATGGGAAGACCAAAAGGAAAAGTCAGGAGAAAGGAGGATGGATGGTCTTTCTTTAATGTCAAAGCTGACATAAACATGTCTCCTCCAAACCCTTCTCACAAGATAATTTTCTCAGCAAGACACAGATTGCTTCAATCTTTGTGTAGCAGTCTTTGAAGCTTCCCCCTTATTGCTGTTACGGAGATGGAAGAGTTGCCTTTGAGAACTTCTGCATCAGTGAAGTGTTCCTTCTCCAGAGGCTTTCATGTGATCAGATGGTCAGTTGCTTCAGACAGCTCCCTCTTTGGAACTTTTCTGCCATCACACAAGGGCGAACCGATATGTCTGTTTTGCAAAATTACTAAATTAAAAAAAAACTAAAAAGGCTTCATTCAAAATATTTTGACCAGCTCTATGTAGGGCCTCAATTTTCAATAGACAGAGGCCCTGCTAAGAAGACGACAAATGGTGTTGGAAAGGAGCCACCAATTAGGAGACATAATATTTTCTGTCAGGAGGATAACCCCTTTTGCAAAACTTGTCCATTGTTTATTCTTTTTCTGTTTGTGAAGGTATTTGTTTGGCAGGGATATTTTGCATAAGGGGAAGAATTGATGAATGGGTTTTTTTCAGTTGTCATTCCTACAGTGTTTTGAGTTCCTGTCTTGTGGGATATTGTCCCTATTCAGTGTTCTTGCTCCTCAGTCTTTCTGCTGTCTGCAACTCTTTCATTTGGAATACTTCTTGGGAAAAAAATGATTCTGCTTACTGCTGCAGCGAGTTCTGGGGGGGAAAGACTTGTGATGGTAGTAGTCACTTTGAGAGTGTAGGACTTGGGGCTTGCAATGCCTTCAGGTTGTGGGCTTAGGAATGCTACTGTATGGGTGTTCCCAAAAGGAAGCAAAACTCATTTCTGAGCAATTCTTTCTTAAAAGTTTATGCCTGTTATGCTTGCATCCTAATAAGTGTTTTCCCATATTTAATGGTTTAAGATGCAGCTAAAGACGTAAGGATTTTTTTCCAGTTTACACGCTTCCTTCACCCCCATTCAGAAAACTTGATAGCTTCCACACCTCCTTTTACTGTATAGGAAATTTTACTCACTTTACTTACAGGAAGCTGTATACATCCTCTATTCATCTGCATGCAGTGATTCACAGCTGCTGCTGTGTGTCTTAATAGCTTATTGCAAGTCAATTTATGAAATCATCAGTAGTAAATGCTTAACAGATACTAGAAGAATAAACAAGGAGGTTCTGTATACATGGGCATATATGTAATACATGGAGAGCAAGAGCCGACTCTGCATGGTATATTTGGCAAGAAACTGAATGAGAGGGACAGGTAGCTGGTGGGATTTCAGATGGGCACTGGTAGATGTTGACATGACCTTAAAGCCTCTATCAGGTTCTTGTGTGGGAACCCAGCTTCAGGAAACGGAGAATATGATGATAGGGTTTTGAGAGGTGGCTGAAAAGTTACAGCTGTGTAATGGTATCTACTAGAACACTGAATAGACCTGCGTTGTTTTTTACCTGTGTTTTGGAGAGAGGGAGATTTGGCATGGGATAGTTAAAGAATGGAGAATCATTATTTAGATGCTAAGTAGCCATTACTGGTAGATCAGGTATACACCTCATCATCATCTGGTCTTAAGTCATGCTGCTCAGTGCTCAGCTCACAGCTGTGTTGAACATAACGTGTTAACGAGTGCAACTGTTTTGTCCTGGATGCAAGCCACATGCTCACCATCTACTAATGTCTAATATAGGCATAGTTATAACTCCACCTGTCCATGGCTGATCTGAAGCACTTATTACTGTTTTGAAATTAGACACAATAGTAGTCATCTCACTGCCTTGTAATGTACAGTGGCTGAGGATATCCTTCTGGGTGTGATGATGTCTTGGTGAAGGCAAATGTTAAGGCAGGTTTTGGGGCTCTAAATTGCAACTTCATAGATCTTTTTTTAAAGTACCTTTACACTGCAAAAGCAAACCCACCTGTGTTCCATAAAGTCTCATCATTTGTCTTCATGGTGCAATTTGTTGTTTTTAAACTGATGGTGAAGATGATCCTGGCTCACCTGAGCAACCACCTTTCTTACCGAGCTAAACTGCTACTGCTGCTTGTGGTGGAGTGCAGGAATCTGTTGAGATGGAAGATGGGCGGCTAGTGGCAGCTTAGTCCTTGCCTGTAAACAACTTTGTATTTAGGGGGAAAATTTTCCAAAGTAACTAAATGATTTGGGATCCAAAATCTCCATTTCAGTTATTTTCAGTCTGTGGAGTGAGAGAAACATTTTTCAAAGTGTGATTCTGTCTTGCTTTTTACAATGCCATCTGCCACGAAGACACCCTCTTTTCTTACTTATCTTGTTCCTCTTTTCCAGGTTGGCCTTCCTTCTATGATGTGATCAGTCCCGATGCAATTACTTTCAATGATGATTTCTCCTATGGGATGCATCGGATTGAAATATCCTGCAGTCAGGTTAGTTTATAGCACAGACAGACCATTCTGATGGCAAAGGCTGCAAAAAACATTACAGCGTGATGTACTTTCCCTAAGATTTGCAATCCTTTCTGTTCCATTAAATAGTAATCACTGTGTGAGAGCACAATGGGTCGCAGGTATAACAGCTGGGTGGAATGAGCTGAAGGCACAAAGGGCTCATTGGAATGCACGTTGTTGTCTCGTGTGAGATTTAACAGAGCAGATGTAAATGGTTAGACTTGGTGCTGAGTCTACAAAGATTGTCTTCCTGAAGAGGGTCCCTTCAAATGAGCTCCTGAGCCTGAGCCTGGCCGACTGACTCCACATGTGAGCAGTTGAGAGGGAAGGCAGAAGCAGTGGAGCGACTGTCTGTGTGCTGATTCCATCACTGTGCATTACTGTGCAGCCGTGCTAACTCATTCCCAACACACATTCCCAGCGCAGTCCTAATGGCTGCCTCAAACAATCCCAGCTGCCGTAATAATGAAGTCAGTAGTCATTGAAAACGTGCCCAAGTTTTCCGTTATCTGTCTTGTTCTACTTTCTCTCATTCTTTGTGCTGCCCTCCTCTCTGTGAAGGGAATGGCATAATCATTACCTAGCAAAGGGAGAAGCTGCTGCATCGGCGTTCAGCAGACATACCCAGCAGCTTGCAGTCCTCTAGTTCCACATGCTTGAACTCCTCCTGAGAGAAGCAGAAGCTTTATTTGGGCAGTGATAATTTGCTGTTCACTTTCCAGGCAGTATTGGTGAAGGGATAACTGATTTAATCCCTGACGATACGAATCCTCAGTAGTCGGTCGGTCCTCATATATAAGTGCTCAGAGTAAGTTAAGAAGCTTCTCAAAAAGAGGCAAGATTGTCTTTATGGGGAATCCATTAACTTCAGTCTGGGTAGAGGGTTTGGCCCAACATGTTAATGGACAAATCAGTGTGTCTGCTAGTATGTCATGTGTACTATGTAATTCTGTAGTTTTTACATTGATGATATGCTTCAGAAGATCTATTTAACACTTTTTGGGAATATCCATTTCCCTAAATTCCCTAGTGAGGTAGCAATGGGACTGCGGACTGGGAATTTTGTGTTTCATCAGTGATTACTGGTATAATCAAAAATGCAACCTGCTCTCTTCAGCTCTGCTTAGTAGGCCTGAATAGTGCTAAAATCAGCATGCTGCCAACCTGCTGAGCCTCTATCTGCTGACACCCTTCAAGAGATGGCCAGAGCTCGTGGTTTCACCTGAGAGAAGCCCAAGGCAGCCTGTGGTCAGGCCAAGGGATCTGGGAATGTCATTTACCTTTTGCCAAACAAAATAGCGTTAGCAGACCTGAGACCAGCAGCGTTAGCAGCAGTCACACGCAGACACCATGAAATTAAAGCAAAACCAAAAACTGAATTTAAAGCATTAAGAAAAAAAATACGACCAAGGTTGCTGTATAATCCAATGGCAACTTCCTACCATCTACTCCAATTTCTGGGGCAATCACCCCACAGAAGGTCAAGTAAAGCAGGAAAATAGTTTGAGGAGTGGTGAGCATCTTTGCAGCCACTGCTCAGCACAGTCAATACTGCCGCATTGTGTATCCATAGCAAAACGATTTCCTCCCCTTCTCGGAGCCCTAGAAATGTGAATCACACATACAGCTGCAGAAAAGCGCAGTTTTACTGCAGCCTGGAAATCAGTGGGATTGATATGGCAGGCCTTGGTAAAACTGGAGGGAAATACCCTCTCCCACACCCAAAACCTTATTAATCTTTTGCAGATGAAAAAGTAGTTGATTTTTCTGTAAAAGTCCTTCCACCTGTCTGAGAGAATAAAACCTGCCTCTTTTAATGTTCTCCATTATAGGAAGCAAGCACTGGGGGAGAATTAGTGTAATATTAATCAAAGACATCCATGGGATTATCCTAGAAATAACTTCTACAATTGTTTGGAAACACATTACCCTGGATGTATTTAAAAGGTCAGTGATTAGTGACAGGTTGAAGTTGGTTACAAATACATTTGAGGAATACTATAAAACTGGTTGCATCTTTTTTTTTTTTTTTTTTTTCCCCTGCTCGAGAGTCCCTTCCCCTGAGGTCTCCCGAGCTATTATTTGTACCTGTACAAATCAATAAAATTCTGTAGTCACAGAAATACTGTTTGCACATTGATAGCTTGGACTCAGTTACAGCAGCTGACTGCAAGCTGCTTTCTGTGCCTCCCAGCAGCATATTAGAACCAGGAGGCTTGGGAGATCCAAGCATACTGACAAGTTAGCAGTGACCCCCCCCTTTCCTGCTCCCAAACACATACTTCAGATGCTTTACTCTAACCGTTTCACCGTCCCAGTGCATTCTGCCCAATATATTTATGTGCAAGGCTGCAACAGATGATTGTTTCTTTTTGGGAGGCTCTGCAGACATGTATGTACATTCTAGAAAAATGGTCGGCAGCTATTATATGTGGGGAGAACAGTAAAATCAATTCATCCTTTGTGCTCTCAGCTGAGGGCCAGGTTTCTTATATTGTGATACAAAGGATTGAATTACGTTTCTTTTCAGGGCAGATGAGTTACAGAGTCCTCTACAGAGAGAATCACCACATAAATTTTTGGTGAGGGGTAACAAATTTTGCAGTAATCCAATCCTGGTGTGATTCTGCCATTGCAAGAAGGTGTAATGAGACTACCTTGGACTCTCACGCAGCTTCTCAGGTTTTGTGAGGAAAACCTTTTTGATAGATTGTCTTTGTAGTCTGTATGTGAGTATATTACTCCTGCAGACCGTTCCTCTCTATGGTTTCTTTTGTTCTATTTCTGTCCAGTGGAGAGAGAAAGATTTATCTTTGGTTAAATGTTAATCTGGAAAAGATCTGTTTAACACTTCTAGCCAGGAGGTTTTGAAGCATTCTTAGTTGAGATGAGATGATTTAATTAAGATGCTGAGCATTTAGAAAAATACTCTCTCTGGGACACTTAAGTTTTTTTAGATTTTTTTTTCCCAAGGTATGGAAAAGCTTTATAATCAGGTGAAATGCCTCATTGTGAGAGACCTCACTCTGAGAAACAGCTCAGGTTTTCTGTGCAAACTGCCTAAAAAAGGCTTTCAGTCTAAAGGAAAAGGAAATAAAATAAGCAGTGGAGAGTGGAGGAAGGGGTGGCAAGACAGCAATCTTTCAGGAGCAAGACTTGAAGCTTTGTCTTTGGTTCCCATGCAGCTTTCCTTTGTCTTTTCCTTATTTGCCATGTTTCGTCTTCCTTCCTTACAAAGCCAAGCAGCTGCTGCTTAACCCGGAGTCACCCACACCTTTTCCCATTGCTTCTGGGAGCGTCCTGCTGATGGCACTCAACAGAAGTGCCCTTGTTTGTTACTGGGGTCCTTGCGGGACCGCCGTGGCTGTTTCAGCAGCAGATCTCCAGGAGCAGGGAGCCTGCCTGGGGGATGTGGCTGTGCGGGTGGAACCAACGGGTGGGAGCACTGAGGCTTCACATGCCTATCTGCCCTGCTCCCAGAGTCAGTGAGGATTATTGTTTCAGCTGTCACTGAATGAGAAGAGTTTCTGTCCCTCCTAGCTGGTGTGAGAGCCTCCCCCAGCCTTTCAGTCTGTTGAGAGAGTTTAACCTGAAGCCAAGACTTTACCTGCTTCTGCAGACACCCTTCCTACTGCTTTGGTGAGTTAAAGGCTGTAACAGCAGGAGAACATTAGCAACACATTAACTGCAGGGTAGAGATTTGCCATCACTAACTCATTCACAGTTCGTAATAACCAGTATTGCCTCTATGTATTTGGGATACTACGAATTAATTAAATGTTAAGAATAATTTGCAGTCTTTAATTTTTGCTGTCTGACTGCGAGCCCACGAGCAACTCTGTGATCTCAATTACATCATTACGGCTCTCACTGAGATCAGCTACTGACTTGAAAGGCCAAAGCACTTTGGTAAAACAGCATGACTTTCCTGTTCAAGATAAATATTTCTCCAGTGCAAGGTTTTATTTTTTTATTTCTCATGGCAGGCTGTAAAAATGAGCTTGTGGAATTTAAGTGACTAATTACAAGAAGTTCTTATTATCCAGATAAGTTGTCAGACATAATGTGCAGTGATAGTAATCCTAATTTTTGAATAAGGATCAACTGGATCAGCTTCTTCAAAATATTGTACTCTTCTGTAAAGCAAGGCACTGTTACCTTTCTTACAGACAGGAGCAGTAGTATTCACCGTGAGTACCACTACAAGTATCTGAGGCTGATTCATACAGAACAAAAGTGTCAACAGACCATCTGTAGTTTCGTATTCCTTACAAAGAGCGAATTCAGCATCATTCCTATTTATAATTACTCCCAGCTAAAGATTATTCATTCAGAAATGTTTTACATATCTTCACTACAGGTCTTTTTCAGTCATCTGTCCCTTTCTCCTATATTCTACAGAAAGCAGTATGTGATGAGTAGTGGATGAGCTCCATCCCCTCCAGGGGTGAGGAGCAGAGGTGCACCCAGAAGGACCCTGATGCTCAGAAGAGTGCCAGGCTGTGAAAAGGGGGGAAAAAAAAAAAAAAAAAAAAAAAAAAAAAAAAATAGAGAGAGCATACTCCAAAGAGTATCTTCACTGCTTTAGGTCCTTGCCAGGATCACCAAGGGGTTTAGTGTTTTCTTACCGAAGGGTGTAGCAGATGGCCACAGGCTGAGGAGAGCCCAGAGCTCAGGCTGCCCCTTTCTGACACTGCTCTCCTTACAGAAGTAAGTGAAACATGGGCAGTGCTGCCCTCACCACCGTGTTTTTAAGTGAACTCCTGCCATGAGATCATTGCAGAGACGTGCAGCTTCTCGGAAATAGTGGCCCAACCAAACATATGCAGGGGCATGACGGGAAACACCCAGGAAGTTTGGGTTTGAAGTCTTAGGCGCCCGTAGTATCTCAGAAGATCATCTTCCTGGATCACTCTTGCAAATAAATGTCGGTTGCAAATCCCGCTTGAAAGGACGATGTAGGCACCAACGTGATGCCTTGGAAGCAGCTGCTAGTCATTGCTTAACACCACAGTGATGCCATCAAGCTGCACAGACACAGTGATACTCTATTGTATTTTGTTTCAGTGTGGTGCTCACCTGGGGCATATTTTTGATGATGGACCTCGCCCAACTGGCAAACGGTACTGCACAAACTCTGCTTCGTTATCTTTCAAGCCAGCAGACAAGAACAGCGCCGGAGAAGGCAGCGGTAACGCTAGTCCTGCCCAGACAGGCAAAGCTGAGCTGTAGGACAAAGCAAAGCCTGCAGAAAACTGCGCTGATCCCACACAGCTTACAAGGAATGTTTTCTAAATTGCCTGCTCTCTTATAACCTAAGAATGTTTAAATGTATGAAAGCATTTTGCACCATCCTTCTTCTTCCTCACCTTTTCGGAACTGAGGCCTTGCCTGCTGGTGCATTTACTATGTAATTGGGTTGAAAAATGTGTTGACTGATTCTACATGTTTTCTTTTCCTTTCTTTTCTTTGAGATTGCTTTGGGGAATCCTTAAATTGAGATGCTTCGGCATCATTAGTTATTAGTTTCTTCTTAGTGCTGTGTTACTCTAGGTTTGAACGCTATTCCTTTTTGTGTGGGAGATGGGGCTTGTGTTTATCTCCAGTCTATAGGAAACTTCTGGGCATAAGAAGATCCTGAATTCCTAGCACATCTCTGCTTTGTTCTGACTTGCGAGGCATGCAGCCTTTGGTCATATGTATTCAGCCATCTCCCAGCATCAGCCGCACCCTGCAAAAACTTGTAGTTATGGCTGTTCCTTCCCAACTGAGAGAGATGGATGAGGTGTAAAGCCCATCCTTTGGCTAATTTACAGCCAGAATTTCAGGGGTGTGGTTGAAAGGATGTAAACATTGTTTCAGCATCTATTTTTCCCCTTTGTTTGGTATTTAAATCAAGTTTTTAACTAGTAAGGCTCACTTTTGAGGGCTACTAATGAGACTTTGTTTTTTTTTGTGAGGCCTGTTCAGCAACTGTAACTCAAATCTGAATTAAAGTTGAAATCTGCAGGGGGTAGTTATATGAACAAGTGCAGAGATAAACTTGAGAAGTGAAGTAGATGAGGGATGACGTTAGGCTCTTGTCAATTGCTACAAGGATTCAGAAACACGACAGTTTCTGCTAAAAGGGAGTTTAGGAATGAATGCAGCAGAAAGAGGGAGACCCTCCTGAAGTATCCAGTTTTAAAGATTAGCTGGTCTGGATGCATACTGCCTACAGGGCCACAGCCTTTAATTTGTGCAATTGTGGTGTAGGACATGAGTGAGAGGGTTGGTTTAAGAAATTATTTTGAAAAAAGCCTGTCAGATCTCCAGAAATTTTCATGTAGCAAAATTTGCTGTCCCATATGGTGTTTTTCACAGCTGCTTTTAGATTTTGTTGAATAACAGTTTGTCTAGAATTGTGCATAATACTGTTCTGTAAGCTATACTGTACAGTATTTGCTAACACCACTTTGCCTTTAAGCAGTGAGAGACTTAATGAATATAGTATTTACTTTCATCAGCAAACTTTCTGACTAACATATTTGGATCCAATTTCATTTCTAGTAGGAGCAAGGCAACGACTGATTTTTATGGAAGCAGGATTGAGGTTTTTATGTCAGTGATAATAAACATACTATCTAAAGTGCAAACATCCTTCAGTTAAAATATAGCTACTGTAAAAGCATATGGAATCATCAGAATTGCCTTTTTTTAGCAACATAAGAAAGACTTGAGAAAAGCATACAATACCTTAACATCAAATAAATGCAAATAAGGATTGATAAATATTTAGAGGTAAAACACTTGGGCTCTGCTGTAGTGAGCACCTACTCTCATGAGTATTTCCCCAGATTTCATGCAAGAAATTGCTCATCAGCTGCACAAAAGATTGTGCAGACTGACCTTTGGTGTTTCAAGGCAGTCTTGTTTCTCCTGGTCCCATTGGTTTTTAGAAATTTCTTTTAGAAGGACTGCTTTTATCCCTTGCTTTTATTTAAAGAAATGTAGGTTTTCTCTGCCACATTTTCTGACATAAACATAAAAAAGGCAGCATCTATAAAAATGTGGTACATAAATGTGGTTTAATTCCAGATTGCTGTTGGATTTAAGTGTTATCAAATTTCAGTATATTCCTGTCTTCTGTTAAAGAAATATATTACTTAAACTTCAGTACGCAGTAAAGTATGCTGTCCTACAGGAGATTTATTTTTGCAGGATATGGAGTGCAATGAAATGAGTCAATATGGTGAGGTGTATGTGATCTCTGGGAGTTAGACCATTTAATATAGGAAATGCATTGTTCTCTCTTGTGCGCAAACTATACCACAGTGCAGTGCAAGGTAAGACTGATTTCCTTTTGTTGCTCTTAGAAGATGCTACTAAGGGCTAGTATTGAACCCTCCAAATTTGGTTCAGTCGGATTACGTTCATGGCAGAGGAAACTTGGGAGCTGAGCAGAATGTATAGAGTAATAGGAAAATATTTCTATATGTTTAAATTTTGCACTGTCTAGATGCTTATAAAAAATGAATGCAAACTGTGTAGAAATAGCAAATTATATTTTATAATATCTCTATTGTTACTCAGATGTTTAAATAGCATACTTTAAAATATCATGTAAGTCACACGTTATTTATTTATGCTATATATATATATATAAAAAATGGCACATGTTTTTATATATATATATATATATATATGTACACACATACATTATTCAAGTATAATTTTAGCCTTCGGTACCTTTTTAATGACTAAAACCTTTCCTTAAGAGGGTTCAATACTTTTAAGAAATCAAATATGCATTTTTTCAAATTAAAATTGTTTTCATATATTTGTTGTACACAAATATAAAATAAATTTCTTTATAAATAATTCTGTTCTCCTTCCTTATTTACCTGTTTTTATGTCACGTTTTTGCTCCCTTCGCTGCAGAATGTCTTGGGGAACTGCTTTTACTTTGCTTGCCCTTAACTTACTGTGAATGTTACATATCCAGCACTTCCAGCAGGTTTCTGGCAGGGGCACAGCACTGCAGGGTACCACGTGTCCTTGCACTTGCCTGCTTTTGAGAGAATATCACAGGCACCCAGGCCCAATAGGAAGTGGAAATGTTTAGAGAAAGGCTCAACTTCTCCTTCACAGAAGTTTTGGTCACTTCTCAAAGGTGCAATGGGGGATGTGGTGAATCGCAGGCATGCTGTAGGAGCCCTGTGGTACCCAGGCTCAGTCTGCAGTGGAGGAATTTGGCTGGAAAGTTGATTTCTGTCAAGGTTTCATCTCCAAGGATGCAGTTTTGGAATGCCCCACGGGCAGCAGGTTAATGCTGCTCAGTAAATCAGCTCTGCAGTGGGTTTTAAAAGGTAGGTGAGAGGGAGGGGAAGAAGTCTCAGGCTGTTTTCAAACCAGCTTCCATGCTTGTGTTCATGGGAACCAGAGAGTTACATCAAAATTATTGACTTGCTAATTGTTCTCAGTCATTGCAGAGTGTCCTAGAACAGATGACACACTGAAGACTTGTTTTACAAGTTTATATAATCCCTGTTAGTCCAAAAAATTAATCCCTTGTAGCCCTCTGCCTCCCACCGTTCCACTGTAGTTCCCTCTCAGAACTGTAACAGTTTGGTATTTCTGAAACGAGGGGCGAACTGGTACCCACTGAAATGAGGTGCAGGGCTGGACACCCCATGGAGGCTCTGCCCTGCACTCCCAGCATAACCCGGCCAGTCCGCCGGCGCGCAGCGGTGCTGTGCTGAGGCAGATCCTGGGGGGTGTCCGGTCCTCTTGTGGCTGCTGGCCTGGCAGCCCCCTCGAGGGACGGCTCTGCACTCCCGTCCAGCTCAGGGCAGGCTGGGTTTTGCAGTGCATGGCATGCAGTTGTGCCTAAGGTAATAAGCGTACACCCCCACCCCTTCAAAAACGGGGAAATTTCTAGTAAGAGACGCTCTCCCTGCTGCTCCTGCTGTCCTCTGGGGTGGCCTGGCCACAGGGTGGGAGAGGCAGTGGCAGCAGGATCAGTGACACGAGGCCAGTTAACAAACTGCTTTGTGATTCTCTTATGGTAGCTATATGGCTTCCATATGTTAAAGGCACCATAACCGTAAGCCTTTCTCACAAGCTCTATCAGCTCTCATACACTAAAAAAATACAGAGTGTGTATGCGAACTGGTTAAAACTGGGGCCTTAGTACAGCGGCTATAGCATGTATTCCCCACATGGGTGGTGGTAGGCTGACATCTGGATTTATGCAGCAAAGACATTGTGCCAAGAAAGGAGGGGGAGCTTGTTGGGAAGTAATGCATTGGCCTCTTACGTGCACACACAGGTAAGTGATGTCTGAAGGCTCTGCCATCTCCCAGGATAAAAGGCAAGATAAAACTGAAGCACGTAACTTGCCTCCAGTGGCCAAACACAAGATAGTGATAATAACGACCCACGGGATAGGACCTGCCCGACATCCTAGTGTGAGGCATGAGACCTTATTGCCCTCTCAACAGCTGACAAAGGTGCAGCTTTCTGTGGCACTAGCTAAGCTCCATTGTATTTCCTCTTCTTTCTTACCCCAAAAATGGCTCAGGTAAATAAGACAACATCGTAAGTCAGCATTTCTGTTGGGGTGACAGTGAAGAATGCGTTGTCACAAGCGATGCTAAGCGCGGATGTGGATGTTGGTACTCTATTGATGGTACTGAAAGATCTCAGTCTTAATTCACTTAGCCTTGTTTTGCAGTTCATTTACTCAACTGAATTTCCTAAGCCATGAGGTTAGGCCTACTCTAACAGGATATGTGATGTATATTAATTTTTCCTATTGCTCAGTATGTTACAAAATGTCAGTGTTTAATGTCATGGCACGGTTAGCAGTCCTCTGCTCCTTCACCCATGGTCTGAGAGGGGATGTGAAATACATGATACAGGCTACTTTTCTGGTCCTAACTCAGAGTTGCAAAATCATGCCCTCTTTCTTCCCATCCTCGAAGGAATTTAAGGATGAAAACGAAACAGATGTTTGCACTTTCCAAATTAAAATCCGTGTGCTCTATACCCACTTATTTACAGAACAAATGGCAGAATATTCAATGGCATTAGAAGCAAATTCATTGGCTTCCTAATTCAGTAGAATAAGACAAAATGTTGCTTAGCTCATTGGCAAACTGAACTAATGGTTCTTGTTTTATTGACTATTAAAATGAGGCCACCTACAGGTCCCACAATAAACCTGCAAAAATGTTTAATCCTGCATATGTGAAGAGCTGCATTCCAGTCTGGTTTGCTCCCGCTTTGTAATAAGGAGAGAGGTCGTACACCACAGGGCCCGATTAGGCTTTTGAGATCAAAGGCATGACAGTGGTCAGCAACTGTATTATTTTTGCAGTCACTTTTTTAAAAAATGCAAGATAATACTTCCAAACGCACCCAAATCAGTGAAATCACTGAAATAGCCAAACTCCAAGCAGTGTAGGCATGTGACATTCTGAGATCCTTATACAGGCCACTGGTGTAATATTAAATGCGCTAAGCAAAAAGGTCTCAGTTGTGTCCACATGTTTTTGGGATCAGGACCTGCTTGAGCAGCCCAAATTAAGCAGGAATAGCGCACTCAGAAACCTTCCCCAGAGACCTCCTAGGACTTGTAGCCAGCCTTCTCAGACCTTTTGCTTAGCCAACACAGGCCAGCAGAAAAAGAGAAGTGATTCCAGGAAAGAAAAGAGAAAAGGCTTCCAGTTTCAAACTCCTGTTTTATTCACCTCTTGTTAGACAGCTTGCAAACACTGAAGACATTTCACTCTGCAGATGTCTTAGCCAGCGCATTCTCATTTGGTGCTCTTTATAGTTTCAGTACAGATGATACCTGCGGTCTAACTTCTTTTAGCCAGGAAATTTTACTGCCCTAATGCAACAGGTCTGTTTCCATCCCCTCCATTTTCAGTTGCTGCAAGGATTTTCTTCTCATCTGTTTTTCAATAGCTGGCATTCCAGACAATGGTGTATTACTATTTTCTTTTCACTGTAGCCTAAAAGCTATCTGAACTGCAGCTTCATTTTGTTTTAGACCCCACACTTCTCCCTTCTCGTCTACCCAAGTGGAAGGAATATCTGTTCCCCAAAATACTACAGGCAATATTAGAACCGAGACAAATCATGTGTGCCCACTTGGTGGGAGAAGTAGCAGTTCTTTGGAAAAGCAAATAAAATATGTCTTTATTGTCCTATTAAAGTGGACAAGTTGATTTTGTGTGTGGGCTAGTTAATTTTCATGTTTTTCCAGGCCGCCCTAAAGCCCTTCTTGCAGTCCGGGTATTGTCTCCTACAGTTTACAACTTTATTATTGTATGTTTCATACAAACACGAACATCTGGAGAACATCCTCAGGTATAACTGCTGGGCAGTGCAGAAAATATCTGGCGTGATCTGAAACAGGTTTTTCTTCCCATGAAAGTACACCCCTGGGACTGGGAAACTTAGAAGGTCTGTAATGGCATGGAGATCCTTTCACCTCCAGAACACCACTTCACATTTGGCTTGGGGCTGTAACAGCCAGCATCACTGGTGATTTCTTAGCTGTTCACTGTTTTTTTGTGAAATCAGTGCCGGTACCGGTTCACAGAAATCGCTGTGGCAGTATCCCTGAGAGCCTCAGTGATTCTGGAACTGGTGAGGAGGTGGAATTCCTCTCTGTAAGAGCAGTCAGCTTCTATCTGCCCAGAGAGCAGCCAGGAGATGGAAGGGTGGGTGGAGG